CTGTAGGACTGTAACTTTGTGGCTTGTATCCTTATGATTTATATGGATTGTTTCCTAGTATGTTTTGATTGCTTATTGTACTCTGACTATTATTAAGTGTTGTACCTGATGATTCTTGACCAATGTCTCTTTTCTTTTATGTACGCTGAGAGCATTTGCACCAAGACAAATTCCTTGTGTGTCCAATCACACTTGGCCAATAAAGAATTTTCTTCTATTCTGTTCTATTCTATTCTATTCTATTCTATTCTATTCTTATTGTACCCTATGACTATTATTAAGTGTTGTACCTTATGATTCTTGACGAATGTCTCTTTTCTTTTATGTACACTAAAAGCATTTGCACCAAGACAAATTCCTTTTGTGTCCAATCACACTTGGCCAATAAACAATTCAATTCAATTCAATTCCACTCCACTCTACTCCAATCCAATCCACTTCATATTCTATTCCATTCCATTCTGTTCCATTCCACTCCACCTCCATATTCTATTCTATTCTATTCTATTCTATTCTATTCTATTCCATTCTCCTCCCCTCCCCTCTCCCCTCCCCTACCTTTCCATTCTATTCTAACCTCTCTCTCTCTCTCCCTCTCCCTCTCTCTCTCTCTCTCACACACACACACACACACGCAAAAACAGCCAGGAAACTCAGCTTAGGGCTTCCTGGTGGTCCAACAAAGGAACCAGCGATGGATGGAAAGCCAAGAATTCTCCTTCCAAACGAGGAGCAGCGGAAAAAGGATATGACACCACGCAGACGGCGAGCACCGGCTTCGATTCCGGAAAGGGGTGAAGGTAATCCCATATTAAAGCCACGATGGCGAAGAGGCAGGAGATGGTGCAGATGATAAGGCGCCCGTCGATCAAGCAGAAGTTCTCTACGTATTTATACTTTTCCAAAAGGACCTGGGGCGGAAAGAAGGGCCCGTGTTAGCCCAGGGCCTGCATCCTCCAAGGGAAGGAAGGGGCTCGCCGAGAAGGAGAGAATCTCCGGGGTTCGGGGTTGAAGTGTGGTTGGGGGGGAGACACTTGGTGCTCTCTGAGCTGGGTGGTTTTCTTGCAGGCATTGTGTAGACCCAACTGGGGAACCACCATCAGTGCTAGGGGGCTTTGCAGAAAGGAGGAGGAGGAGGGGGAGCAGGAAGAGAGGGAGGAAGAGGACTATGACATGGTCCTTAGGGTGCTCTGTGTGGTTGGTGGTTTTCTTGCAGGTATTTCGTGACCCAACTGGGGAACATCATCAGTGCTGGATGGAAGGGACTGGGGTTTGCAGGGAGGAGGA